TTAAGTGCTCAACAGATATTTTCACGTTGGAATTACTTCATCTGATTTGTTCTCAGTTACCTGACTCATATCTCTTACTCTCAATGCGCAGTAATGAAATGATTCGGGAGTGATTATTTGGATTATCAAAATACGATTCATATTGTAATCAGCTAAGATGGTCAATACTTTAGCATGTATCTCCTAAGTGAATTCAATGTGATATTAAGCATTGCATACAAATGAATGGTGGTAGAAATGCTTTGTAAGTTAAGAATAAGCAGTGAAACGTGAGTTGACTTCTCATGTTGGCATTTGATCGTGTTAGTGTTCATTTGTCACAAAACTATATAGTGATTTGATAAAATGTGGTGACGTATTAGGCAAAAAAAAGTTTAAAAAATTGGAAAATATAACATCAAGAAGTAAAAATTTACATTCTTCGGGAATAGATACCATATGAAGACTCCACACAATACGCCCGTAACATGCAGAAATATGGATAACGCCAAGTGCGCTTCTTCTGACCACATCTACAAAACAATCGTTTAGTTGCTTGTGCTGAACGCAAATATTATTTTGCTCCAAAGGCTTGTAAACACAAGTTTACTATCATTTAACATCATTCATCTGTTAACGTTTTGATTAAATTTAAAAAATAGAGCCATAAATAGACCGCTGAGCAAATATGAAACATAAATGACGTACGAGAAGTTTAAAAAAAAAATTAAAATATTGTCATAAGATTTCATAGAATGGCTGTGATGGCGATAACTCTGCAAACAACCGTCATTATTGCAGTAATATGTTGAAATACTATCTAACAAGTTACTTGCTAAACATCTAAAACTGCAGTTTTCCAGGGAAGAGATTCAGCTCAACCACATATGTAATAACGGAATTTGGTTGTAATGCCCAAGTTATAAGTTATCAACAAACTCACTCACCTTCAATGGCACAGAAATTGACGACGATTTGTCGAAAATGTTGCAATGGCAATGCGTAACAATCACAGAGAAGAACGATAATAAAATGAAACTGAAATCCGATTTCGATATCCGTTGGGCAAGAATCGCATCTCAGCAATCAATGTTCAGTGATGAATAGTTGCGAAACGAGTTTGAAACGGGGCCACCTGAGTGGTGAGGATCGTCTTGGTGATGCCATAGTTGAACCAAGAACAGACGATCGATTATTGACGTGAGTATCGAAAATGATTTATGCACTCAAGTTTTTCTATCCAATGTTTGCTTGAGAGATTGCGAATTTCAAGAAAGAATATTCCTTTAATCAAACGATTGAAAAGGATTTTCTTTATTTGACAGCAACGAATTCGACGTTTCACTCATTAATTACCTTAAATTAAATCATCTCAATTCGTATTTCATCATGAAAACAATTTTTATATACTTCATCGCGAAGATAATCTTATTAGAAGTTTCTGAATCTATACCACTGAACAATGAAACCAGAACACTTCGGTGGATATTTTTGACGTTCAGCAATGAAACGCAATAAAGAATGGTGATCAATCGGAGTAAAGAATAAGGGAATAATAAGTCGAAGTTAGGCAGGTTGGCAAATTGCAAAATAATGTGAAGAACATTGCCATTGAGAAAATATTAATGGCTATTGCATGCACTCTCTTCTCGTAAAGGTCATCATGCATTCATCCGTCATTGAATTAGTTCAATCATTAATGTCCACTTGTCTGTCCTTTTGCCTGGCATCGATCAGAACAACTCACTAATTGTAAGAAACGAACCAAAAAAAATCAATCAGTCGACCTTAATAACGGTCAAAATAAAAGATGATGAACGATATTATCGAATGATATCACTGGAATTGATAACTCGGGATTGACTCCATATGTTCATTCTTTTAAACTTCGTTTATCTTTCGGTAATTCCTCGATAAAAGTGAACTTGAATTAGTATTATGAAGAGAATCGACAAAACAGTCGTCGACACAACATGCGACGTGACTATTGGTACTGAAATAATGCGCACTTGGATGCTATAACAAATTGCGATCATTAAAAACTATTTGGAAACCGGAATGGTACATTGTTTGAATGGAAAATACTCATTATCATTCATGCGCAATGTTTGTACTTTACACAGACACATTTCACATCGCAAATATTTTCGATTTTGACTGCCCAAAATGTGAAACGTTCTCATAAAACCATTCATTTTCACTTGGTTCATAAAGTTAAGCATTAAATTCTCGACTATGCTAGTCCTGAAAGCACAAACAACAAAACAGTTTGATTGAATCCAATTCCTGTGATGACCTTTAAAAAACAGATAAACCAATGCAACAATGGATTTCCAATCGGGCATATTCTAATAACTTGGAACTTGGTCTATCTAACTCTAGCGAATGGTCACGCTTGCTGGTAAGAGACGATCACCTATAGGCAGCACCCTATATATTTAAATGATCATCCTCAGTAGTAGCTGCACCAGGAGCTTGTTTCTATAATCAGTTCAAAGTAACTTCCTTCCCAGATCAGGCTCATTAAAGCTCTTTTCGCAAAAAACAGATCAATTGGTTACTTCGAAGTGAGCAAATATACCTCTGTAAGCCTTCCCAAACACTGGCATAATGATCTAATATAAGTTCACGTGAGAAAAATAACAAAGAATAAAAATGTGGTGGGTTGATACGAAGGAGGTTGAAGAGGATGATATTGGGATGACATCAGGGGATTGGAAATCAAATGAGTGGTCAAGAGGGAGTTCTGAATCTTTCATTTGAATCAATGAGATACTCTTTTGAAAGACAAATTAACTTAAATCTTGCTCATGTCTCACTAGGAAACCTCACGAAGTTACCCCCTCCCCCCCGCCTTTCGGAATGAGACCTATATCATTTTGTAGGGCTCATGTAGCTGATCACAGATATGCAAAAAATTTTTGCAATGTACAAGGGGGACGCGAGTCAATCAAATTGTAACTGCATGAGTAAAATACAAGTGATTATTTGCATAAATTCATTTGTTTATTTTCGGTAGGAGAAATTTTCATATTTCAAAACCATCATGCAAAGTGCTCAACAAAACAGATCTAATGAATCCAATTCTTGTGATAATCTTCATTCAACTCACATCTCGGCCACAAATCTGGTTGGTCGGCAAGATTAGCTTGTTTGGTGAGTGGTTTGCTTGGGTTTGGGTTGAACTGCCGTTAAAAACTGAACAAGGGAAGTTAGCTGAACGGCAATTTCGGTATTTTATCTTGCGACCTTTAAGTTACGCACTGCAAGGTCTCATTCGTGTGTCCTTCTGGAGCTTTTATTGGGATCATGGTACATTATTGCTCAGCTACGTTCAATCCAATTATGTAGTAGAAAAGAATCTAGTATGACATTGATATTTTATT